AATGTACTGATTAAACTAAGGATTGAACTCGGTAGTGAACTGATTAAACTAAGGATTGAACTGGGTAATGTACTGATTAAACTAAGGATTGAACTCGGTAGTGTACTGATTAAACTAAGGATTGAACTCGGTAGTGTGCTGATTAAACTAAGGATTGAACTTAGTAATGTACTGATTAAACTAAGGATTGAACTCGGTAGTGAACTGATTAAACTAAGGATTGAACTGGGTAGTGTACTGATTAAACTAAGGATTGAACTTAGTAATGTACTGATTAAACTAAGGATTGAACTCGGTAATGTACTGATTAAACAAAGGATTGAACTAGGTAGTGTACTGATTAAACTAAGGATTGAACTCGGTAGTGTACTGATTAAACTAAGTATTGAACTCGGTAGTGTACTGATTGAACTAAGGATTGAACTAGGTAGTGTGCTGATTGAACTAAGGATTGAACTAGGTAGTGTGCTGATTAAACTAAAGATTGAACTCGGTAGCGTGCTGATTAAACTAAGGATTGAACTCGGTAATGTACTGATTAAACTAAGGATTGAACTCTGTAGTGTACTGATTAAACTAAGGATTGAACTCGGTAGTGTACTGATTAAATTAAGGATTGAACTCGGTAGTGTACTGATTAAACTAAAGATTGAACTCGGTAGTGTACTGATTAATCTAAGGATTGAACTCGGTAGTGTGCTGATTGAACTAAGGATTGAACTCGGTAGCGTGCTGATTAAACTAAGGATTGAACTTGGTAATGTACTGATTAAACTAAGGATTGAACTCGATAGTGTACTGATTAAACTAAGGATTGAACTAGGTAGTGTACTGATTAAACTAAGGATTGAACTCGGTAGTGAACTGATCAAACTAAGGATTGAACTCGGTAATGTACTGATTAAACAAAGGATTGAACTCTGTAGTGTACTGATTAAACTAAGGATTGAACTTGGTAATGTACTGATTAAACTAAGGATTGAACTCGGTAGTGTACTGATTAAACTAAGGATTGAACTT